CGGCCCAGGCCCCAGGGGTGCCTGGGATGTTGCCATGGCGGCAAGGCAGCCACATGCCAGGACGGTGACACAGAGCCCTGAGTCACGCGCACAAGACCCCCTCGTTTGAATCGAGGGCCTTGATTCAAGAGTATCGGGAGGGGCTGAGGGCCTCGCCATGGCCAGCTCCAGGTCCTTCGGGGACCCCCCCACGGCTCCGGCCAGCCTGTCCCCTCCCCGGATGCACCCCCGAGCCACAGGGCCTGGTCCACGGCACACGTGTGCAACGTGGACGTCAGCCGTCTTACACATGTGCAGGCTGGGCTGTGCATGCGTGTCTGAGAGGCGAGGCAGGTTGGAGGTGTCTCTGGGGGACCCAGCCCCCACCAAGGGGGGTCATCAGCCCTCCCCGAGAGTCTGGTGGGCAGTGGCAGTGGGTGCTGGGGGGGAGCCGAGCATGGGAGCCCCCCAGGCGCTGCCCCTCCGCGCCCGCCAGCTGGCTGCCCCGCTGTGAGGACGCCCAACCCGGGAAACGGGGCTCAGCCGTGAGCCGGAATGGAGCACTAGACGGAGTCTCTGTGGGGCGCTGACGTCCGGGGCGCGAGTGGCCGCGGGGCCCTGTCTGAGTTCCGGACCCGCAGACCGTGCACATGGCGAAAGCTCCGGGACACGCCACTGAGTTCTGGGGCGACGGGTCATGCAGCCACGTGGACCGACACGCCGGTGGGGCTTCCCATGCAGGGCGTGTCATCCTGGCTGCCAGATACCAGGTCGTTACTTTGCGGGCTGGTGAAGAGAGCTCCGCCCCGGCGCCCTCCAGGCCTCCCTGGGAACCGAAGGGCCACGCGCCAGCGCCGTCGCCGTGGGGGCACGGCAGCAAGTGGGGAGGCGCAGCCCGAGCTCTGGGCCCTCTCGACAGCGCCATCAGCTCAGGGAGGCTCCTGGGGGCATCAGTGGTTTGCACCCCAACCCCCAATTTAGGACTAATTTTCAGAAATCCTGCAGAAGTCATGAAGCCAGTGAGCTAATCACACCCCAAGTGGAGGCGTCCCCCACCCCCCAGCAGGCACAGCGGACGGTCCCGGCCCGATCCGGACCAGCCAAGTGGGCTCCTGAGTCCTCCACCTCTGTCTGCACCCCACCCTCCCCAGACACACTCTCGCCTCCCGCGGGGCGGCGCTGACTCCTCCCCGCACTGCCAGGGCCCTCCCCAGCCCCGCCCCTACCTCTTGTCCCTCCCTGGCCCCGCCCCCTCTGGCTCCACCTCTTGTCCCTCCCCTGGCCCCACTCCTTGTCTCTCGCTCCCGGGCCCCGCCCCTCCCTGCCATTCCTGGGGCGCAGGCTGCATGCCCATCTCAGGGCCTTTGCACCTGCTGCAGCTGTGCCTCTGCGGCCTCACTGCCCCCACCCCCGCGTGCACCCTGGCCCTGCCCCTTCCCTCCACGGCACTTAGCGCCTTGGGCCAAGGCAGCTGCTCATCAGCTTCATTTCCCGCCTCCGTGGTGGGACTCTGAGCCCGCATGCGCACATCCTGTCTGCTGACTGGGCGTAGCGGACGCCGCGCACTGACTGGTTGCGGAGGAGGGACGGCGGCAGTGAAGGGCTTCTCGCGCCCTCCACCCGCGGGAGGATCGGCCAGGTGGCCCTGTGGGCGGAGGAGGGCCGTCCAGGCAGGGCTCCCGGGGTCTCCTCACGAAGGCTGGGTGCCCGTGCCTCAGTGTCCCCGTCTGCGCAGTCACAGCGGCACACGGACCCGGGCACGGCTCACACACGCGGTGCGCACCTGGGAGTCCCGATGACGCAGGTGATCAGACACCCGCCCCACGGCCGGCCACGTCAGCAGCACGCTACCTGCCTCACTTGCGGGCCGGGCCCTTCCAGAACATTCCGCACGCGGGGCCTGGGGCGGGCAGCTGCGGCCCAGCAGGCGCTTACAGATTCTCATCTCTCTTTAATGAAGGAAACCCGCAGCCCCTGCTACGCCAGAGACGGGCAGGATCCTCCCGTTCCGGCTGCAAGCAGCCAGATCAGGGCATTACTTTCTGATCGCACGGCGCTCACGAACATCTGACGGCGAGCGCCACACGCGGCTTCCGGGACAGAAGCTGTTGAGGACGGGCAGTAACGGGGGTTCGCTGGAGATGAATATTGGCAAAATCAAACCACTCCTAGTAAAACGGGGTCAGGTGACAAACCCCCGTGTCACAGCAGGGAGGCTGTCGGGAGAGGCAGGGCCTGTGCGTGGCTGCGGCCTTGGCGTGTTGGGTCTGAGGCCACAACCACTCACGCATGCAGTGGGCATCCAGGGTGTCCTGGGAAGACGGAGGGGCACGCCTGCAGCACACGCACCCACACACAGACACCCACACATACAGGACACAGGGAGAGACACACGCAAACACAGAGACCCAGAGAGATCCCCATGAGACCTCTAGCCAAGGCACACACAGCCCCACCCAAAGACACGCACATACAAGGGCACACACATGGCATCCCAACCAGACCATGCACACGCGTGTCTGAGGGCCCACATGGAAGTCCCAATCTGGAGATGAGAGGGCAGCCGCCCTAATCCTGGCCCTCGCCTAGGTCCTGCCCCTCCTGCTGGGCACAGGTCACCTTGGCCAGTCCCTGCTCCCAGCCCGGGGGGGGGGCGGCCTTGCCTTGGCTTCCGGCTTGGGACACTCTCGGAGGACAACCCCTCTGAGAGGGGGACACTGCCCCCTGCTGTCTGCCAGGAGCCTGGGCTCCCATCTGCCACCCACACACCAGCTGGACAAGAGGCCCACGGGGCGTGACAGCCTGGGGGTCTGAGGGCCACCAGGGCCAGGGGTGACTGTCTGTACACGCCAGTTCTGACACACGCGTCTGCCCGTGCCGGGACGTGAGGCGCACACGGGACCATCTGTAGGCCTCAGGCCGCAGAGGGGAGCCCTCCCCACCCGGCGCCATCTGTCACTTCTGTGCGGTGGCCACAGGGCGGGGCTAAGCTGCCTGCAGGGCGCACGTTAATTACAGTTTTCAGGAAACATTCACAGCCGCCTGGGGGGAGACCCAGCTGGCGAAGGGCGGGAGCAGGCGGGTGCCGGTGCTCAGGGAGGGAGACCCCAGGCCCCGGGGGCTCGGACCCAGGGAGCCTATGGAACATCCCTGGTGCGGCCACGCTGGCCACTCTGGGACACGGGCACACTGCACCCGACCCCGGGGGAACCAGCAGGACCCCCGCCCACACCCCAAATGAATCCACACGGGGCAGGAACCTCCCCCTCCTGCCGCAGGCCCCACCTGCCCTGGGACCTGGGGTGCGGAGGTGGGCCAGGGTGGTGCACCCTGCCCAGGTGTCCCACGGTGACGACCTGTCCCCACTTGGACACGCCACACGGCAGGAGCCTTGCTCGGCGCGCCAGGCCCCGCTGGCTGCTGCCTGCCCAGGACACCGCGTGGAGGGGCCGCCACTCGAGGTCACACTGTCACGTCAGGGGTGTGTCCCAGCGCACAGAGGACAACTTGGCTGCCCAAGGCCACACGCTACGGGAGGCTGCGACACCTGCCCAGGCAGAGCACCCTCAGGTGGCCGCCAGAGAGACGTCTTCCCAAAGTGTGTTCCACTGGCCACCCCAGGGCAGGACTCGGGGACACTGTGGCCAAACCAGGGCTGGAGGCTGAGGCAGAGCCCAGGGTCTCGGGGCTCAAACAGGGTGTCGGGGGGGAGGGGGCCCAGCAGAGCCCCTGCACCTGTGCCAAGCACGCGGGTGACACTGTCCCAGACTCCCCAGGGGCCGGGGGCTTGGGGTCCACCCCCAGCCACCAGCAGGAGCCACAGGCTGGAGGGGGCTGGGCTGCGTGCGGCAGGTGGTTAATGGGTTAATCACACGCCCTATAAAACATGCAGTGATTTAGCAAGGACGCCCCCCTTCCTGCAGCCCCAGCTCATCCGGGGCTGCCCAGACGAGGGGGGCGGAGCCCCAGCCCTGTGAGGGGGCAGTAAATCTCCAGAGAGGGCTGCACGGAGCTCCGGGTTTTATAGCGTCATTAACACTCCTCTTGACGCTTGGGAGGAGCGAGAGGAAGTTGAGAGGCGGGCAGGGCTGCTCCTGCGGGGACTCCACAGCCTCGGGACTCCACGGGGCCCTGACAGGGAGCGGGGTGCATGGGGGACGCTCTGGGGTGACCCTCTCAGCGGGCGGGAGAGGGGCCGGGGACTTACGGAGTAGCCTCTGCCCGAGACCGCCTGCGCCGAGCTCTGCGGGAAGGAAGGAAGGAAGGAAGGAAGGAAGCACAGTCAGCGACAGTGGCCCGACGCCACCCTCCCGCAGGACCCTCGCCCGGCCCGGGACCCTGCCTGAGTGTGAGAGCAGCCGTCGGCGGACGGTCCAGATGCCCCGACCCAGACGGGCTGCCGGACACCTCCCAGCGGGCCGCGCAGCGTGAGCGCCACACCCTGCCAGCTCCGGCCCCACGGGCGCCCGTCCTCCTGGGAAAGGCCCCACAGCTGTCCTCGGCCAGTTTGCTGCCCCAAGAGGGGAGGGCCCGCCTGGAGAGGGCTCTTCGGAGCAGGACGGACACTGTGCCCCACAGCCTGTGGTCATGGGGGGCTGCTTCCTGCGCCCACCGCCCCAGAGGGGTCCAGAGCCGCAGGACCTCAGGGGGGATGGTCAGGGAAGGCTTCCTGGAGGAGGAGACCTTGGGGAGGGGTCACCACAGGGGGCCTAACAGGCCGGGGGCCTCAGGCATCAGGGAAGGAGGGTAGGGCCGGTGATACCCTTGGTGG